TACTATACTATGAGCACCATTATTTTTTGCTCTCTACCGAGCATCTAATCCCCCAGGATCCCAGGTGACCATCCCAGGGCCCAGAGGAGAGAGCTTATCTATAAGGGGACCTCCTGAGTGACATCCTATCGCCCAGATCCATAGAGGAGGTTATCCATACCAGGCTGCATCCTGTTCCATTACAGAGGGGACAATTTCGGAGGTGAAGCTTCTTCTCAGGCAATTCCAGTATGATTGGCGTGCCTCTTTGGTTCTGGAGAGGGATTATGGGAAATACCACTTGCCTGACCCTTTCCAGAATTGCAAACAGTGCAGCAGTTAAGACGATCTCTGCTCTGAGGGATAGTACGGGGTCCCTGATGAAATCCAGGTCAGGGATCCTGGAAGTCTCCAGGTCCTTTTTTATGCGGACTTACTGGGTGAGAAGCACCTTGACCGGACGAGGATGTTGAGCTTTTTGGAATCCAGAGCGATTGATAGTCTGGCCATTAAAAAGACTCCTGGGCCAGATGGTCTGACAGCCGAATTCTTTAAGGCTTTTAAGTCCTGCCTGGCACCTCGTCTCGCGGAAGTGTATAACAGCTGTCTGGATGAGGGATCTCTCCCTCCTTCCATGAGACAGTCTGCAGTTATTCTCCTGTCAAAGGGTAAGGATCCTTCGGCTATTGAGAACTGGCGCCCCATCAGCCTCCTCAATGTCAATAGAAAGGTTCTGGCGAAGATCTTGTTCTGGCGAAGATCTTGTTCTGGCGCTTGTCGTCAGTTGCAGACAGTTTGCGTCAGGGATCGCGGCGCCTCTCTCGGCGCACGCGCACTTGCGACAGCTCACGCCGGGACACAAGCACTAGGTCCCGGCGGGCCGCGGCTGACAGGACGCCGCGTATGCGCAGTAGGAGCCGCGGGCGCGCCTCGGGCGGCCAATGACAGCCCGGTGGCGCGTCCTGGCCAGCCAATGACAGTGCAGGGCGCACTATTTAAAGATGCCCTGCACTGTCACAGATTGCCGCAAGGTCTATCTGTGATCCTGAAGTTCCTGTACCTGATTAGTGACCCTGATTGCCCTGACTATGCTGCCTTCTCCTGTTATTTGACCCGGATTGCCCTGACTACACTGCCTTCTCCTGTGCTTTGACCCGGATTGCCCTGACTACTCTGCCTTCTCCTTTCCTGACCCCCGGCTTGTTTGACCATTCTGCGGACTGACTTATCCTGCTGACCCTGCGTGTGACCTGACTACTCTTCGCCTGCCGATTCGGTACCTCGCTTACCCCACGGGACCACGGCTCGTGACCATCCTGCTAGGCCCCGCCGTCCTTCTCACATCTGGCTCTCCCGGTACCTGCATACATCCCCGGAGGCTCCCTCTGCCACTGGTGGGCCTGCTCGGAGGTCGTGACCTGGCCCTGGTCTGTTAGAAGTCCATCCCCACCATCAGGGGCCCCGGTGAAAGCACAGACCGGGGCTTAGACTCCACGCTCTGGGTAGGTCTGTCAAGTGGGCAGCCTGAGGCACCACCTGGCGGATCATAACAGTTTGCTTTCTCGTCAGCAGCATTGCTCGGTCCAGGGCAGAAGTACCTTTACAGCGGTGTTAGCTGTCCGGGAGGCTTTGGAACGGTGTAAGGCTGAAGGATGGGGAAAGTACTTGCTGGCGGTGGATCAGGCAAAGACCTTTGATCGGGTCAATCATGAGTACCTCTAGCATCTCCTGGACTGGTATGGTTTGGAGGGGAGGTTCATTGACTGGCTGAAGACATTATATCAAGGGGCTGAGAGCTTCATGTTGAATGGTTGGGTTGGGCAGCCCTTTGAGGTTGGATCTGGGGTGTGCCAGGGGTGCCTGCTGAGTCCCTTGCTCTATGCCTTTGCCATCGACCCCCTTCGTCAGGAGGCTAGATGGCGGGGCGGTGAGCAGGGTGCCGGTGGGTGCCACTGGAGATCCGCCTTTGAGAGTTGTGGCTTATGCTGATAACGTTTCTGTTTTCATTTCTGGACCAGAGGAGGCGCAGGAGGTGGTTTCAGTAATGGATCAGTATGCCGAAGCATCAGGTTCCAAGGTCAATCAGGACAAATGTGAAGTTCTCTGGATGGGAAGGGAGGGGTGAGAGCTTTTCACTCCTGGATGCCTTCCCGGTGCCTCAGCCAAACATCAAAGTGTTGGGCATCAATTTTGGCCCTGCTGATTACAGCAAGCAAAATTGGGGGACCAAGCTGTCGGATGCCGAGGTCAAAGTGAGATGCTGGAAGGGGGTGGCGGCTCTCGTTGAGGGAAAGGGTTGATTTGATCAAGACTTTCCTGCTCCCAGTCTTTTTGTACATCAGATTCGATTGCCTCTTGCCAGAATCGCTCTATATGAGGATCTACAGCTGTTTCTTCCAGATGTTATGGGGGAATCGGCTGAACCTCGTCAAGAGGGACGTGAATTACTCATCCAGGCGGGAGGGTGGCCTAGGTATGGTCAACTCGGTGGTCTTTTTTTCTCTGATGTTCTTGAAACATAACTTTGGTAACATGCTGGCAGAGAGACCGCCTGCATGGGTAGGACTGTTCCGGATCTGGTGTGGACCCTTTCTGCACAGTTGGGAGAGTGGCGGGCCAGTGAGAAGCCTGCGGGTCAAGCATGGTAAGCTCCCGGCTTATGTGGCTCCGTGCCTGAAGTTACTCCGGCGGTGGCATGTGACTGCGGAGGAGATCCGGTCCCTCCCTAGGAGGCTCCTGGGTGAGAGGATTGTGGCATCTGCTTTCCATGCGCCGCTGGCCTTGAGAGATTGCCCAGGCCATGTTTTGAGGGAGGGTTTGCAGTTGATAAATCTGGAGCTGATCCCCCTGAAGTTGCGGGACCAGGCCTGGCTCGCCTTCCACGGCAGGCTCTACGTGAGGGGTAACCTGAAGTACCGTCCCCTGGATGAACGTGGTTGTCCGAGGTCAGAGTGTGGGGGTGAAGTGGAGACTATGGACCACTTCTTGCTTCAGTGCCCCTTTAACGTAGAGGTGTATAAACAGATGGGAGGGGCTCTGGGTGTTCCTTTCCTCCATCGCATGTCGTATGCGGAGTGGGTGTACGGAGCATTCGAGTGTCGCATGGGTTTTGATTTGGACACCTTGTTTTTAGTCCGCTTAGTTGTCCGTTATTACACTTGGATGACACGGTGTCAGGTCTCCATTCGGCAGAAGGTCCTCCCTGTTCAGGTGGTGGTGAGTGACATCCTTGGTGAGGTGGGGAAAAAATTTGGGGTCTTGAGAAAGACAGGCTGCGGCGTAGGGCTTGGATGGAGGCGTGGAGGAACATCAAGCCTGTTGCTGCAGTCTGTTGATCTCAGGTGATGGGAACTGTCCCTGTTTTCTGCCTCTTGCACTCCCTAGCTTTTGCATTTCGGTCTTTTTGGTAGCCTTTTGCATGGTAGGTTGTACGGGTCAGACATAGAAGATCTGCGGGTTCCTTAGCCCTCCCCCGTGGTGTACATAATAGTCAGGTTAAGTTTGGTCTCTGTATAGTTAGGCCATATAGGCCGTAAGCAGTGGATATATATGGAAATTGCAGATGGTTCTGTTTCATGTTTTGAGCCATAAAGGCCTTTCTATAATTTTTTTTTTTTTTTGGTCTCGGCCATAGAGGCCTTGTGTATATATATTGTATATAGTTTTTTTCCCCCCCAGGTTATGGACTTTTATGTTCTTTGTTTATTATTTCTCCCACAGGGGTTGTTGGGACTTTTTCAGTTTCTTTGTTTAGTTTTGTATTTTATTTATTATATTTTGTACTTTTATATATAAGTTAAGGATGGATATGTATGCTCATAAATACATTTAAATAAAAATCTCCATCCTGTCTTGCATCAATGGTTCAGGCTGGTGGTGTCATGGTGTCTTGGATCCATCCAGCCTTGTATCAATGGTTCAGGATGGTGGTGGTGTTGGTGGTGCTGTCATGGTGTGGCGGATCTATCCTGTCTTGTATCAACGGTTCAGGCTGGTGGTGGTGGTGGTGTCATGGTGTGGCGGATCTATCCTGTCTTGTATCAATGGTTCAGGCTGGTGGTGGTGGTGTCATGGTGTGGCGGATCTATCCTGTCTTGTATCAACGGTTCAGGCTGGTGGTGGTGGTGTGTCATGGTGTGGGGGATCCATCCTGCCTTGTATCAACGGTTCAGGCTGGTGGTGGTGGTGTCATGGTGTGGGGGATCCATCCTGCCTTGTATCAATGGTTCAGGCTGGTGGTGGTGTTGGTGGTGGTGTCATGGTGTGGGGGAGATTTTCTTGGCACACTTTGGGCCACTTAGTACCAAGTGAGCATCGTTTAAACACCACGGCCTACCTGAGTATTGTTGCTGACCATGTCCATCCCTTTATGACTCCAGTGTCCCCATTTTCTGATGACTCCGTCCAGCAGGATAATGCACCATGTTACAAAGCTCCAATCATCTCCAACTGGTTTCTGGAACATAACAATGAGGTCACTGCACTCCAATGGCCTCCACAGTCACCAGATCTCCATCCAATAGAGCCCCTTTGGGATGTGGTGGAACAGGAGATTTGCATCATGGATGTACAGCTGACAAATCTGCAGCAACTGTGTGATGCTATCATGTCAATATGGACCAAATCTCTGAGGAATGTTTCCAACACCTTGTTGAATCTATGCCACCAAGAATGAAGGCAAAAGGGGGTCCAATCCGGGACTAGCAAGGTGGGCCTAATAGAGTGGCCGTTAAGTGTGGATACCAATGGATAGATTATTTTAACATGAACTGTTAGATGGTTAATTTGGTTTGTTGCAGACTGGCTGGTACGTGAGCTGGGGATTTTTGTTTGTTGTTTTTTGACATGCGTCGCCCTTCCATGTGCTCCTTGTTGCAAAGACCAGTTATAGGTTGGGGTGGTTGCCAATTGTTCTTTATATTCTATCATAGCCTGCTTGATTGCCACACAGAACCTCTGTGATGATGACATTGCTGTTACACATTTTTAAAATGTTCTCATTTTCTATTTTTCTCTTTCAGCACAAACCTTGCCAACTAAACTCCAGCAGGCAGCTCTTCCTCTCCTGACCACCACCGAATGCCAGAAATACTAGGGAAGTAATATCAGGTCCACCATGATCTGTGCCGGTGCCTCTGGTGTCTCCACATGCATAGTACGAAGACCTTTTCCTCATTTGTACTAGCCACCATTACTTTGCTGGGGAACCAGAATCCATGGCTGAGGGATCCAAGGCAGTCTTGAAGGATCTTGTTGGCATCTCTACAATCCAAGATACATTACACAGGGCTACTGAACTATGAGGGAGGAGCTTAGCTCCAGGGGTGGTGCTTAATTCAGAGTTGGTGCAGAAGCCAGTGCCCTCTGTATCGGCTTTCATTTATTTTAATATTTTATATCTTAGGATCTGGCTCAGGACTATTGACTGATGAAGGTGGAGCTCAGCTCTAGGGTGTGGGGTTGGTGCAGAAGCCAGTGCCCTCTGTATCGGCTTTCATTTATTTTTACATTTTAGATCTTATCTCTAGTGGTGGGGCTTAATTCAAAGTTGGTGCAGAAGCCAGTGCCCTCTGTATCGTGGCTAGGGTAGGAAGGAGTTTAAACCTATGTCAAAAAGTGGACACTACGTGGGAGGGTAATAATTAAATTTAGTAAAGAAAAGAAAAAAATAAAAAAAAGGTACCGAGCCGAATGTGCACAGACCCGGAGCAAAAATTGCCCTGGTCTTAGCAGCTTATTTTTTTTTGCAGTCTATGCACGGCTGGGGAGATTTCCCTTTTCTTCCTGCCTTGAAGGTACAACAGGAAGTGAGCAGAAATCTCTCCGAATTGAGAGGAATTTCCACCGGATGTCACCAGAATGTTGCATGTTCAGCCACCAAGAGGCTGGGTGTAGCTTCCTAAGAATGCCACAGCACCCGGCCTCAGTACTCCTCTCGAGGTCCTTCAGCCCTTATGCAAGTAGTGGGCTGGCTCTTAGGTGCAGTTATGCAAATAATAAATTGTCTCAATGTGGAAGACTGGGCATTCCTAGGAAAGGTTGTATTTGCATGCAGACCACCCTGGGTAACACTCATAAGCAGGGATGTATTTACCACAAGGCAAACAAGGCATTTTCCTAGGATGGCATTTTTCAGAGGGGGCAGAACCACCCTCTGGAAGAAGGGACACATGCGGCATGAGGACAAGGTGGGATCCAAGAGGTGCTTGATGGTGTATTTAGAGCCCGACTCTTGTTCCTGTGGATGTCGGGGCTGTGAAGGTGAGTGTCTTTCATGACAGGGGGGTATTAGTGGAAGGCTCTCTAAGGAGGGGTGGGCAGGGGTGTTGTTGGTCAATGGCAGGTTCTCTCCACGGGGGTGCCTGATTTTTGTGTTGCCTAGGGCAGCACAAAAGCTAAATACACCACTGCCCATAAGTGATGCTGAGCCTGCATGTTAGATGGAATTGACATCCAATGAATAAAGGGGTCGTGGCTAGGAACATTCAAGAGCTAAATGATGCTGGGCATCCTCCAGCCAAGAATTGAGGCGGGCAATATGAGTTCCTGAAGCTTTTAATTCACATTGTGCTCACAGTTCAGTTTCTCAAAGTGAAAGTTGGGGGATTCTTCTGTGACGTCCGTTCTTTTCTTTTCAGGGGGACTCTGGAGGACCCCTTGTGTGCCAGAGGAATGGAGTGTGGAACCTGGTTGGCATCGTGTCCTTCGGAAGCGCAACCTGCTCTACATCTGCCCCTTCCGGCTTCACCCGAGTCACCGAACTCAGATCCTGGGTGGACCAGACTGTTTCCGCTAACTAAACATTATTTAATGTCCTTCCGACATTCAATAAAATCATTTTATGTGCTGTGAATTCATTTCTTGTGTGCTCATTAAGTACAGGTCATCTGGGGAGGTGAACCCCATGATTGAACCACACTTTAACCCCCCCCCCCCAAGCTGCTACCTCCTTTAGCTGCAGAGCCAGTGGCCAGGGGCCAAGGAAATAACATATCTGAGATCATAAGACTGATTTACTAAAGGCGCTGAGAATCTCTTACACGATACATTGCTCGAGTGTTCACTTCAATTGTCCAATCATGGGAACAGAGGACTGTTTACTTCTACAGATGATTGGATATGAGAGTGAACGGTAGAGATGTGCATGAGGGGAAAAAAAAAAGGTTTTCATTTTGGATTCATTCATTAACCACCCTAGCGGTCTGATTATGTCAGTATTTCTGTGCTCAAAGCGGTACTTTTTTTGCATGGAAATATGTATTTTTTTTATTGTAGGCTGTAATTTTTAGGAATAACTCACTGAAATCTGTCCGAACAAGAGTCTAGTAAACATTCCGGATATGATAAAACTTGAAACACGAAATCATAAATTATAATATAATAAAAAAGAATAATACATTTTATTCAATAATCAAACCAAAAACACTGAAATGTGAAATAGAGCGCCAAGTTCGCACATCGCTGAGCAAAGTCGCAGAATCGTTTTCAGTGTCTGATGAGGAATTTCCCCCACCAATCATTATCACTCAATTCTGCAAGTGGTTCTGATTTACTATCGCTGTTCTCTAGCCGCTCTAAAACCGCGTCTGACCTAAAGGGACGCTTTTTGGACGCCATGGACGTTTCTCAGTTTCCAGGCAGAAAGAACAGTAAAAATGCAGGCAGGGCGCCGGACAAAGCACTCGAGCTGATAGAAAGGTTGGGACCAGTCCGGGATATTACCACCTTAGATCTCACCATGGGATACTGGAAGAAGTCTTAACCTCCTTAGCGGTATTCCCGAGTGTAGCTCGGGGTAACATTTCAGTACCAAAAGCGGTAACCCCCCCCCCCCGAGCTACACTCGGGAATACCATGCGGCACTGCTCCGGCATTTGTTCTTCACCTACCTTACCTTGCGCTCCCGCAATGTGTCCCCTGCAGCGTCCCCGGCCATCTCCTCCGGCTGATGCCGGCATCCGGCTTCTGTGTCCTGTCCCTGTGACGTCGGGACGTAGGGGCGCCGCGAAATTTAAAAATTTTAAAAAATGTCATTTTTTTTTTTTTACATTTTACATAGTAAAACATTGCTGTCTCAACCCATTTCACATACATTGTGTCCCGAGTGCTTTGTCCGGCGCCCTGCCTGCATTTTGTCTGTTCTTTCTGCTTGGAAACTGAGAAACGTCCATGGCGTCCAAAAAGCGTCCCTTTAGGTCAGACGCGGTTTTAGACCGGCTAGAGAACAGCGATAGTAAATCAGAACCACTTGCAGAATTGAGTGATAATGATTGGTGGGGGAAATTCGTCATCAGACACGGAAAACGATTCTGCGACTGAGCTCAGCGATGTGCGAACTTGGCGCTCTATTTCACATTTCAGTGTTTTTGGTTTGATTATATTATTGAATTACATTTTTTATTATTTTTTTATTATTTTTATGATTATTTATTAAATTATAATTTATGATTTTGTGTTTTCAACTTTTATCATCCCCGGGATGTTTACTAGACTCTTGTTTCAGATTTCAGGGAGTTTTTCCTAAAAATTACAGGCCTACAATTAACCACTTCCTGTCCGGACACTTTTACCCCCTTCCTGTCCAGGGCAATTTTCAGCTTTCAGCGCTATCACACTTTGAATGACAATTGCGCGGTCATGCAATACTGTACCCATATGAATTTTTTTACCATTTTTTTGAGACAGATAAAGCTTTATTTTGGTGGTATTTATTCACCGCTGGGATTTTTATTTTTTTTTTACTATGTAAATGAAAAAGTCCAAAAATTTTGAAAAAAAGTGTTTTTTTTTTTATAAAATTTTGCAAATAAATAATATTTCATCCTAAATCTTGGCCAAAATTTATTCCGTTATTTTTTTAGTAAAAAAAAAAAATCCAAATTAGTTTATAACCAAACATTATAATTTTTAAACTTTTTTTTTTACATTTTTATTTTATTTTTTTTTATATTATTTTTTATTTTTATTTTTTATTTTTACATACTGTCACCCTAGCAGTACAGTGTCACCATGGTGACACTGTACTACTTGTGGGGGGTGATGAAGATTTTTTTTTTTTTTTTTTTACACTGATTGCTTTTACACCCATATAGGATGTAAAAGCAATCATTTCTCTTTCTCTCTGTCTGCATTCTTGCAGTCATTGAGAAATACTGAGTGAGCTGTGATTGGTCACAGCTTGTCACATGGTACAAGGCTGTTGTGAATAGCCTTGTACCATGTGACCTCTGTGATCATTCACAGATTTCACACGTAGTAAGCAATGATGTCACAAGTGACATCTTGCTCACTACTTTGCATGTGATCACTGATTCGCCAATCAGTGATCACATGACCGGGACCTCGTACAGAGGTCCCGTCCGACGATCGGTGTTTCACTGTGTCCGGAGGACACAGCGGACACCGGATCGCGGTGCTGCACGCTCCTAGGGAGCGCGCACAGCTAGAAAAGACGGGTGCCGTTTAGGAACGGCAACCCGACCTTGGACTGCCACCGCCCTGCCGTTTATAAACAGCAGGCGGACGGCAAGAGGTTAAAAAAATACATATTTCCATGCAAAAAAATGGTACCGCTTTCAGCACCAAAAATCTGAAATAATCATACCGCCAGGGAGGTTAAACTAAGGAAGTCGTAGAAAAGACAGTATTTTTTACTCCAAAGGGTCATTTCAAATATAAAAGGGTGCAGTGTTGTGTTGCATTCTGCCCTGGTTATTTTGCAAAGGGCGATGGATAAAACACTACGCCCTCATTGGAAATACACCTCAACATATTTGGATGACATTGTTATCTTCAGTACAGACTGGGAGTCCCATCTTACTAGAGCCCAGGCTGTATTGGACACTTTAATGAAGTCGGGGTTTACCAGTAATCCTGAGAAGAGTGTCATTATGATGGAAGAATCCAGGTACCTACGGTACATTGTGGGTCGGGGTTTGGTGAAACTTCATATGAACAAGGTAAAGGCTATTCAAGCTTGGCTCCGCCCCCTCAAAAAGAAACAGGTTTAAAGCATTGCTGGGCATAGTTAAGTACTACTCTTGGTTTGTCTCTCCCTTCATCACCATTGCTGTGCCACTGGCTGACTTGACGAAG